ACATCTGCTTCCAAGAGAGTTGAAGGGAGATCTAGAGATCTGAGTTTAACTTGAACCAAGCACAATGCTGACTCTAGTGCAGTGGTTCTCAACCTTCCTAATGCCACGATCCTTTAATACTGTTCCTCATGTGGTGGTGACCCCCAAAAATAAAAAAATTTTTGTTACTACTTCATAAGTGTAATTTTGCTACTGTTATGAATTGGGAGACCCCAGTAAAAGGGTCATTCGACCCCCCAAAGGGGTCATGACCCACAGGTTGAGAACCTCTGCTCTAGTGGGAGGCCTGGTTTTGTATGCAGATTGATCAAGAATGGTGATTTCCCCCCCCCCAGGATTCTTTATGGACCAGAGGATCTGGGCACAAGAGGGTGAGTACTTCCCCAAAAATATAGATTGCCAAATATCTTTCAAACAAAAGAAAAGGATTTCCCATAAGACAAAGTCACCCAGGATGGGAAGTTGGCCAGATGTGTTGACCGTGGGAAACCTTACGGCGGATTACTTGCTCACAAGACAGTCAGGGCCCTGGGAATTCTAGGATGAACTTCTATGCTAGAGATCTCTCCAGCGATCTTCTCCTTGGCTGAGAAAAACTGTACGCAGCACATCAGGAAAAGACCGTGAAGCTAAAAATGGAGCCTGTAGAGTGGGGTACGAGAGAAGAGTCAGGGTGAGGAAGACCAGACCCATGGTCTCCAGCCTTTCCATGACAGTTGAACGAAGACGGGGCTGTCCACAGTTAGACAGCCTGTGAACGTGTAAAGTCACAGAAACCCAAAGTGGCAGTTCTACCCTGTCTTACAGAGCCGCTTCGGATCGAATTCCCTCAGGGGTAGAGCAACTACAGTCCTATCTGTTGTACCCCGGTCACTAGGAGTGAGAACGGACTGAAAGGCACCCAACACCAGAAGCAACCACCCTCCTGTCGGAAGGGGTGGGGGAGCCACACGCAACGGACCCACGGACTGCAGAATACTCTGATACACCGTCAACGGCGAAATCGTTTTCACGTGCTCTTTCGATTGCTAGGTGCCAACCAGCCAGTTCTCACTCCTATGACTCTCTGTGTACAACACAAAGAAACCCTGCCCAGCCCTGGCCGTCCTCACAATTAGTCTTGTGTCTGAGCCCGTTGGTGCACCTCTGCGTAAATCCATCTCCTGGAGGGCCTTCCTATTTTCTTTCTTTCTTTTTCCCTCAAATGCTCTTTATTTTATTTATTGGAGGCTCTTACAACTCTTATCTCAATCTACGTATACCTCCATTGTGGCAAACCCGTCTGTACATATGTTGTCATCATCTTTTTCAAAACATTGTCTTTCTACTTGAGCCCCTGGCATCAGCTCCTCATTCTTCCTCCTCCCTCCCCCACCCTCCCTACCCCGTGACCCCTTGATCATTCATGTTATTCTCTTTTTGAAATTTTTCATGTCTTACACCAACCGCTGTCTCCTTTCACCCACTTTCCTGCTGTCCATCCCCCTGGAAGGGGGCCATACGTTGATCATTGAGATCGGCTCCCCCTTATTCCCCTCCAACCACCTGTATCACCGTAGTATCGCTGCTCCCCTGACTGGTCCTCAGGGGCTTATCTGTTCTGGATTCCCTGTGTTGCAAGTTCTCATCTGTCCCAGCATACAAGTTCTGGTCTAGCCAGATTTGTAAGGTAGAATTGGGGTCATGGGAGTGGGAGGGGCGGCCTTCCTCGTCTTCACTGCTCTCTGTTTGACAAAGTCCTTCTCTCTTGACAACATGTCCGAAGTCCATGAGAAGTCTCACCATCTTTGCTCCTAAAGTCTTCTGGCTGTGCTTCTTCCACGACAGATTTGTCTTTTTCTTTGGCAGTCTCAGGAATCTAAAGGGGAAGGTAGATCGTGTTAGATGGGGTTGCTACGAGTCAGGCTCGCAGCCATAGTACTGTGCAAGTCTGAGCCCCACATCAGGTCCCGATTCGTCAGAAACAGCCCGGAGGCCGTCAGGTTCCGCTGGTGGTGGAGGAGGAGGATACCAAACCTAACGAGTTTATGTCCCCGGAATAAGAACAGAAAGCAATAGGAAGGATGGAAAAGTCCCACACCCCATAAAATGTCATCATTGTCATCGAAGTGTGCATGCGGAGACGGTGGAATTGGGGTCCCTTTTGCTGTGTGTATTCTCAGCAGTAAGAACAAAATGTACAACAAAGGCAGCACCTCGGCTTGCTGGACATCAACTCAGTGGTGACAGGGAGGAAAAGAGGGCTTATGACGAGAGAAAGCGCTGATAAGAGAGAAAGAGAAAGATATCAACAAAGATGGGAAATCAATGAAGACAATGTACGGCATGAAGGACAGACTTGGTACAGAAACTGGAGGGAATCATAGAGTGGGATAAAGAGAGAGATGGAAAATGGAGACCTACAATTGTCATTCTAATCAGAAGCAGTAAGGACATGTTGATATAGTCGTACAATGGAATATTCTACTACAATTCAAATATAGTAGATATAAATATTGATTCTAATGTAGTATAGCAATATAATGAGACACAAAATGTTTATTAATTCTAGACGCTTGAAAACAAATATATATCTGGATAAAGGGCCCTAGTGGAGTAGTGAGTTACACGCTGCACTGATACCCTCAATGTTAGCAGTTCAAAGTCACCAGGCACTACAAAGAAGAAAGATGGGGCTTTCTGCTCCCCTAAAGATTTACAGCCTCTGAAACCCACAAAGGCAGCTCTACTCTGTCCTGTAGAGTCACTATTAGTCAATATCAACTCGATGGCAGTGAGTTTATATTTGGTTATATATATACGATATGTGTTTACTATGACATACAAATATATATTTATATTAAACATGATAAATGCTGCATGTTTTACAAATAGTAAATTTCATAACCTATCATTACATTGCATGCTGGAAAACTTTGCATAAATTCCAAGATAGTGGAGAAACGATCAGAGACAAGAGCAAGCAGAATACATAGGTGGATCTGGTTCCTTGGTTTTCCAATGGTTTCAAGATGAGAGTTGTACATTTCTGGGTTTGGTTTGATCTTAAGATATGTCCAGAAATCCTTAGCTAGCTTCCTACTGGTAATTTTCTAAGATATTCTGTTATACAGAATTTTAAATTTCTGCACATTGTGAGTTGGAATTTGGGGCTGGAGGATTCACTTCAGACAAAGCAGCCACATCCAGAATTGCATGCAGCGTTCTTTGGTAACGACGTGGAAGTCTGCATTTAAAGAGCTGCACAATCTGCCTAGAGGAAAGGTTGTACATTGGGATTGGTCCTTGGTTAATACTTGCTGGAGCAGTTAGGATTGGGGAAAAGCACTTCTGTTTGGATGCTCTGATTGTTGTTATAACAGTAACACCAAAATTGTATCAAACACATTTCATATAAAGTAGAGAGGTTTCAGAAGCTGAGATCAAACCAAAAGAACACATCAAAGATGTTCCAGGTGCGTATACAGTCTGATCTTTCTGTGATCTTCACCCGGTTGGGCATCTCTTTCAAGTCTGGACTTAGTAAATATGCAGCATGAAGTGATAGTTCTGAGAATTTTCCAGGAAGCCAATTTCTACTATGGTCAGGTCCACGCCCACCGTATATAAGGTTAAAAGATTGTTTTTGCCTTTCATGTTGTGGCCAATTGGTAAACTAAAGAGGTGGGGCACACCGCGTGATATCCTGTGTGTTTGTCCATTTGGCTGGGCCTCCTGTACAGCAGAAAGAGCCCCTGTCAGTCATGGGTGGGGTGTGTCTTGGTAGGTCAGGAAGAGAATGAAAGGGAGGGAATTTCACGGAAGAATTGTTGACCTGAAGGCTTGGTGTCTCCACAGCAAAGGGCTCAGCTTCCATGTGGGCAGAGTGGACATTCACAGCTGAATTTACCTTAGGCAAACGTATTCCTGATTTAAAGCAGACGGGGCTATAGTGAAAGCCTAGGCTCTATATCAAATACATCTAGCATTATGAATTTTCCTATCCTGAGTTTTTTCATGGACCAGAGGATCTAGGATCAAGGGGAGAATCTTTCCCCTTAAGCCTAGGGTGGCTTGGAACTCCAACTGAGGATTTTCTCATAAAAGGAGGGCAGACAGTAAGGACGGTGGGCTGATAAATTAATTTGGTGGACCCATGGGTGGAGTGCTCATAAAGAAAGTCAAGGCCCCAAGAACTTTTGGCTGCAATTCTACGCTAGAGACCTCTCAAGCACTCTTAAGCTGAGACGACAACTCTAATAGTCAAAGTGGGTGATACAGCCCCTGGGGGTAATGAAATGATCCAATGAGGCTGCAAAATAGATAACCTACAATTTACCATGAGTATGGGCTATAGCACAAGATTTTTCACTGCCAGGGTCATTGCATAACCTTTCTGTGAAAAGAAGACCCCCCACTGCTTTTGAAGCATCCCCGGGTCCCTTCAGCACGCCCAAGGGTAGTTATTGTGCACTTTGGGAAGCAGTGCTGGAGTAGGAAGAAAGAATCTGTTCTAGGAAAATCAGGCCCTTCAGTCTCCAGCCTTTCCGTGAGAGTTGGAGCTGTGCACCGTTGCTGCCACCCTCTGATCAGAAGAAATGGGAGAATCATATACAACAGATGCACCAATTTCCACAATATTCTAATACAGGTCCTGTTCTTCAATGAGTTCCATGTGGCACCAGATATTATATCGGCCATATAGTCCCTTCACTCTTTGTCCCTTTACAAAATCCATAGGCCACTTATTTGCCGCAGGAAGATATGCCATGCTTGCTTGGTGTTGGGAAGTCTTGGAGGTCATCCTAGATATCCCAGTGTGGAGAAAGAATCTTTAGACAATTGGAAACCAGGAACAGAGTTGGTGGGGGAAGGAGATAATTCCGTACATTCTTCTCTAAGTCTGTGCTTTTTCTCGCCCAGGTGGTCATGACAAACCCTCTTTGACTGCTTGGCCGAGTCACTTGGTTCCACAAGGACAGCACGTGGCTCTTCAGTGTTGGTCTCATCTTGAATTTGCCATGTTCACACTGTACAAGGAAGATGGGACTCTCATCTCTGAGATCCAGAGTCAAACACCTCCCAACCATTTCCTCATGGGCCCTGTGACCCCAGCACATGCAGGAATCTATAAATGCTATGGTCACTATCATGACTTCTCTACGTGGTCAGCATCCAGTGATCCCTTGGAGATCATGGTCACAGGTCAGCATTACTGTCCATAGGGGTTTCATGATCCCAGTGATCCAAGGCTTTTCCAGTGGGAGTGACAATCAAGGCCCTATGAAAAAGAGAACACTGCTCCAGATAGTTTAGGTAAAGATGGGCTTATACAAGAAATTTAGTTGTTGGCCTATAAAGAGTGCTTTCATACTGGCATCCCTGTTCTAATCTGGGGAATCCATGATACTTGAATAGAGGAATCAGGTGGAGATGTAATTAATACTGCTTATTAGCTGACCTTAAGATGAGGACGTTGTGCTGCCTTATTCTTATGGAGCATTATTCTAGGATCCTCATCAACAAAACTAGAAGGCCAGAAATTAAAAATACAATGAGAAAGATGCATGGCCTATGACACGGTAGCTCACACTGAATGAAACTTATCTAACATGTGCAATTTTCCCCATGAGAAACATGCGGCAGTCTCCTTGTGCTTAGGAACCCAGCCCCTCACCTCCATGCACGGGGCCCATTTTAAACAGAGAAATCACCAACCATGAGCCCCCAAGGTGAAAAGCATGGCACCGATTGACCACCAAAAAAGAACATTTGAGAACACCCCGAGAGATGTCAATGCAGACAGGGGCACCAGGTTTGTTGTCAATTCAGACAGGGGCACCAGGTGACTCAAGTTTTCTAGTCATCTATACATGTCTGAAAAAGACCCTAGAAACTATACCAAGTATTGACTGGGGGAGGGGGGGATCATACATTTTAATGAGCAGGTGAATTCAAAGATTACAAATGCAGAAATAACGAGGAACAACTGAACCTCTGGGCGCAGAGACGGAGATGGAGAAAGATGAGCCGAGAGCAAAGACGGATCCTCATTTATTTCAGGGCTCATGCAGTGGGGTGGAGAAGGGTGACTCTTTAAAAACGTTTAACTTCTCTGGTCTTAGGTTTGTACAGAAAACCCTCTCTGTCGGCCCAGGGGGGTCCCATGAAGAAACTAGGGGAGACTGTGACCCTGTGGTGCCGCTCAGAGCTCCAGTTTGACACCTACGTTCTCTACAAAGAGGAGGGAATGGAGAACACCTCACAGTTTGTGGAGAGACTCCGAATCAGAGGCTCCCTGGGTGACTTCTTCCTGGGTGCAATGACACCTGACCACACAGGGACCTACAGATGCTCTGGTTCTCACAGCCACTCCCCCTCGAAGCTGTCAGCCCCCAGCGACCGCCTGCAACTCATGCTCACAGGTGAGAGTTCTGAGATCTACACCTGTCCCACCCTTGTCCCCTTAGGACAAAGATTGGATTTTCGAAGGGTTGGAAGTCATGGGGGGTGGTGAGAGAGATGAGAACAGTTTTTTGTTTTGTTTTTGAAGAGATAAAGAAAAAGAAAGATGAGAAACAAATGTGGATAATTCTTCAAAGTGCAAAGGACAGATTCGGTACAGAAACCAGAGGGAGATCGAGAGAGGGAGATGGGAAGAGGCAAACACAGTATCCTCACACTATCAGAAGACATAAGGGCAGGTGGATACAGTCATCCGATGGGCTATTATGCTACAATCCAAAAAGATTAAAGATGCAAATATTGCTTCTGATGTATTAGAACAATACCAAAGCACCCCAAAACGTCATTAATTTGAAACACTGAAATCAATTATATATATGGCTAAGAAGCCCTACCGGAATTATGGGTTATGTGATGGCCTGTTACCTCTGAAGTTAGGTCCCAGAGAGGAATGCCAGCCCTCACTTTCAGCACCAGGTTGTTGTCCAGGGGGGAAGAAGCAAGCATCAGGCCCATTTGGTTTGTAAGGGGCCCGGGATAGCCTGCCCTCACTTACAAGCACGCAGGCAGGCAACAAAGAGTGGAGCCAAAGTTTATTTAAGCATAGTGTCCGTTCAAAAGATATGAAAGGGGGAGGGGCTTCCGAGGTGAAGGTAGGTACACCTTCCCTGAAGAGCCCAGAGCAAAGTGGTCCCCATAGGTGAGGTCAGGAAGTGGGAGGACACTGCCCAGGAGAAGATGGCCCTGCTGCTCTCCCATTAGTTATGAAGCCCATCCTGATGGCTCCCACTTATTAATTTACTTCAGGTGACAATTCTGCATCAGTCTTGTCTTGGGCTGTAAATCAGGGTGAGCCGTGTTAAGATGTCCACTTAGCCTGGTCTCAGAATTCAGACATTGACCAGGGTTGTCAACTCAGGGCCCCATGATCCCTTTCATAGCCTGCAGAGCGATCATCCCCGAACAAGCACAATGTGAGTTCCTAGCAAGCACGGGGTCCGCTCTCTCGACAGGCAGAAGCCTCTCTCCTGTCCCTAACCTCGAGGTCACTCGCTGTGAGAAAGAAAGATGAGTCTCTCTGTTCTCATCAAGATGCACAGCCTCAGAAACCCACTGGGCAAAGGAGCAAAATCCACAAAGAGCGAGGGTCAGCTGTAACTAAGGACTGAGAGACAGGGAGGAAGGAGGAAGATGGGCACTGGAAGGTGATCGAGCCTCATTTATTTCAGGTCCCATGGAGTAGGGCAAGAAAGGGTGGCTTCTTAAACTCACACCTTGTTTACTCTTAGGTGTGTCCCCAAAACGCCCCCTCTCGGCCCAGCCTGGTCTCTCCCAGCCTGAAGCTGGGCAAGAACGTGACCCTGTAGTGCGGTTCAGAGCTCACGTTTGACACCTACATGCTAGAGAGAGCGGAGAAAACAGTGAACACCTTGCACCTTTGGGGGAAACTCCATGGTCGAATCTCCCGAGCTAACTTCTCCTTGAGCTCCATGAAATCTGCACATGTGGGGGCCTACAAGTGCTACAGTTTTTACCGGCACACCCCCTTTAAGTGCTCAGCCCCCAGTAACCCCCTGAAGCTCACAATCACAGGTGCCATCCACAGACCTGCCCCCCACCACCCCTGTTCTCTTGGCCGCACAGAGACCCAGCTGGTGGTTAGAGAGATGACCCAGGTCCAGGTGGTGGTGGTTAGAGAGATGAGAACAGGGCTATCATGGGGAGACAAAGACCTGGTGAGACTTCAAGATGCCGACAGAGACAAAGAAAGTGGAAAAGGAACGCAGATCATTTGTTATAACGTCAAGGACAGACACTGGCACAGAAACAGGAGGAGGGATCAGAACCTGAGATAGGAAGAAAGATCCAGACAGACACCAATGTTCCCACTCATTTGTCTAGAGAGTTGAAGTGGTTCAGAAATTGGGTTTCCCTTTTTAACTCCACACATGGTTCTCACTAAGATAACCTGAAGATAAATCATATATATCTGACTCCAGATGCAGGGTCACTTGGTCTGCCCCAGCCCCATCTCCATGTCCACTTTGCCTGCAGCCCACGGGAGACCTAAGGATACCATGTTTATGATCAGAATAAACCTTTGAGATGGTTGAGCCCTACCTTGATCCTAAGGGAAGGAGACTAACAGTAGTCCCTGTGCTGTAGGTGTTTGTGGGCCTCCAAACTGCAATCAAAGGTCCATGTTCTAATAACCCAAGGTGCCATAGGATTGCTGAGAACAAAAGCCCACAGGAGCCCCAGTTAGAGAGCAGGTAGTATCATTGAACAGCAGGGACATAGAAACACACACACGGACACAGAATAAACTGGGGCTGAGAGAAGTGAAAAGGCGAAGGGAGAGAGTGGTCCCTCCTGGGATTTGGAAGAGGGAATCCCAGTCCTCCCAGGAGTCGAGTTCTATGGTAAAGGCTTGCTGGCTGTGAACCAACTTCAAAATAACAGTGCCCAGGCTTTATTTGGGATCACGAACAGACCACCCCATCTCTTAAGGTCTCTCCTTATCTTGTTTTCTAGAACTCTCTACAACTAGTTCTGTATCATCCACAGAATCAAACTACCAACCAAGTAAGCAAAAGAGACTTTCTCTCTGGGTCTGTGGCAGCCTACGGAGCTAGAATCCTTGGGTTTGAATGGGAGCTAGGGTGTTTCTGACTCTGTGACTCGGGCTGCTCACCTTTCCTCTCTGGTCCTCCACTTCTACAGTCACAGAGGCATTGTGATCAGCGTGGGGTCGAGTGAGATGTTTAATATCTCATTTTGTGTGTGAGTTAGTTAATTGTGCCAGCCTGGCCGATAATCACATGTGGGGCTGGTTCAAAGGCGGAGGGATAAATGGGTGGTGAAGCCTC